CTGAACAATGCAGACGATACAACTAATATGTGGAAAGGACAGAAAATGTAAAAGAATTTGTAGAAGGCTATGATACTCAAGATGAGCCATCAAAGGGGGTCCAAAGACATTCCGAGGTACAATGAAATACAAGAGAGACGACTAACAAAACAGTAGTTAAGTGTTGGAAGGCATTGTAAACCCGGGAGGTTACCAGATAAACGATACACCACTTTTCCTCTGTGGTCGTATTTTGGGCAAAACAGTCTCTTTCTCTTCCACGGACTGCTTTTAAAGCAAGAGACACAGATCTTGGGACATCCCAAACTAACGCGATCGCGGTCAGAATAGAAAACTTTGAAATTCTCCATAGGCAAATTGTTCCCCACCAATGTAAGTCATTGGGGCGCATTTCAGTCTATCATATATCACAATTAAAATCAGAGAATCACGTTGGTAATGGTGGTACATGATTGTGATACATGTACTTGTTGACTCACTATTAAAGTTCATATCTTGTGTTTGAAATATTTACTTTACAACCATACAACCACGACATTCAAGTAGCTTGAATTTTGGAAGCTTCCCAGTCAAACTTCCGCCTGAATTTAGAATATTTGCAAAAGAAAAATTTCTTAAGATGTTCGAATTCCAGCTTTAACAATCGACGTACAAAATTGGCACCGCGTAGTCTGGCACAGACAGTGACTTCAATTCCGCTGCAAACAGTCTGGAACTCTGGAGGGTAACTTGTGTAATTGGGCAGCACAGTCATAGGCTAGCTGTATATGTAGACATCCCCGCCCCACCCCCAGGCTAAACCTTAACTTCGCAAGTTCTAGAGATCAAACGAGCTCAAATTGAATTCCAGTCGAGCCACTGAGGCGTCTTACTCCGCCGAGTTCTTGATTATGACAAGGAAGTGACTCCAAATACAACTTCGCCGCCGGTGGAGCTTCAAGAAAGAAGATTTCTGTAGAGAATAATTGGGTCTTCGGTATTTTCTTTCGCACGGGATCTTGAAAAGAAGGTTAGGCGCACTTTCAGCAGGAGCTTCGCGGTTGAACAATCTGGGGCGAGTTAACCCGCGCCAGGACTACCAGTCAGTGGAAAAGTTCAACCCAAATTTATTACCCCCTTCCCGATCCTCTGGTTTGATGGTTGAATTTACGACCGTCACAAATAGACTTAGGGGCAATGCGGACTGTCCGCCATTAAACTGTTGTACCTGAAAATCCTGTACATCTACAATATAGGATATAAACCAATAGAGTCATATTATATTTTAAGGTTATCAATACGTTATTGCCTCCAGAACGCGTTTCTGACTTGATCTTTCGTAATCCACACCCTCAGTGGAGTGTCCTTCGATGGTGTAACGTTAACGTTAATTGATTATAACAGCTAACATATTTTGTGCTAAAAGAAATAAATACAATATCAAAGTCACTGCATTTCATGACTGAGTTTTAATATTTACTCCAAACAAACGTTTTCACACAACATACTTTCAACCTCCCATCTTCACATTACTGGCCCGTCCCCCTTCTCGTACCCAGACCGGTGTGAGTAAAGCTTGGGAACGAGAGTGAGATTGCGTGAACTTCGGAAACCTCGGCGCAGCAGCAGCTGGCTCGGTGAATGAAGAAACTGGATCATAGAAAGTTTTGAACTAAACTCCAGTAAGAACACGATCATGCCCTGCAGCCCAAGACGTCTGGTAAGTAAGCTGCCATAGCGTTACCTTTGAGAGTTTTTAACCGGGAATGAATTCTGAAAATGAAGTATACTTGGCGGTTTCGGTATGGGGGAGGGGGGCGTGCAGACGAATGAATAAATTTTGCCATAATCTTTATGCAACAGGCAATGCAGTGGTGTCACAGCGTAGCGGTGCCATAATAGTCTTTCACCGTCTAAACTTTACCTGGCAGAAATGTTGATGCTGAGCCCAAATGATATCCAATGTTCAATAGTGAAGACTTCAATTCCCCATTGATTGAACTTATATTTATAACAATAGTAAAAATGTCAGAAATGTAAGATGAAAGAAAGAACATAGATGTAAAAATAATTTTCAATACAGATCAGAAGATTTCAACTTAAGTAAATGTGTATTATAACGTTATGTCTGTACCACATATTAATAGGGATAATAGTGTAACGTTAGCAGAAAGTGATAGTAACGTTACATAATGCCAACAACCGAAAACAATGTTACAGAACAAGACCTTCATTGGAAATAGATGATAGTGTAGATACTGCAACAATGATTATTCTATAACATTACACATACCTGTTTCAGGTTGTCTGAACTAGCACTGACCAGTCACCATGGTGCAGCTGCCCCGCCTGACCAGCGCTCTGCGAGCCTTCTCCGGCGTCTCCAGCGGTAACCAGGCCAACGGGAACAACACGATATCACTACAGGAGAAGCGCCAGCTGCAGTCAGCAAGGCTCTCCAAGTTGGTTATGATTTTAGAATTTCATAGAATCATTCATACAATGATCGTACTTAATAAGTATGAATACTAATAGGGTACAAGTTAAGATGGCTAAAATATCTTTTCTGTAATGATGATAAATTAATATATAATAATAATATAGAGCCTGTAAAGATTCTGTTAGCTTGCCAAGTTACTAGTCTCTAGCAGACTACCAGTTTGGCCACCTTGGGGTTTAACTGGCCACGAGGGAAAGAAATTAACCTTCTGTGGCCTGACTCCCTTGGCCACGTTTATTCTCCTTTTTGCCGGATTCTACAATCCATTTTCCCATAGAAAGGCCTGGTTGAGGCTACCAAGTTGCAAGTTATTTGATAGAAGATATTTGTCTAACACACATCTACAATTGTATATCTGTGACTTTCGGAAGAAATGGTTGTGTTTATTTGAACAGGTCTGAGGTTACCTTGGACGCCCTTACAGCAGAACTGTTGAAAAAATGTGTCCGAGGACAAGAGCACCAGATCCAAGCAGACGTGAAGGAGTTATGCCATGCAGCCTCAGCCATTGGTCAGTAGGCACAACTCAGCCTTCTGGGAAATTTCCTTATATGGGCATATCTAACTCAGGGATGTCTTTGACCCATTTCTACAATTGCTGAAGAAAAGTTTAAATTGTGCAGGTGCTTTCTTGAAGCAATAAAGTCCGAGGGATTCGCTTACATGTGAATGATATACTTATATAGTTCCAGGAATAGCTGAATTGCTGGTCAATGAGTAAATTGGTAAATGTTAGTGTTAAACTTCTTTAACCTTTATCCGGCAGGTGAATTTTATCTGTCACTTTAAAAATTAAGGCATTGTTATAAAGAGATCTGCACACTTTAAATATGCAGGAGTGCACACCTGGGGTTTGTTGCATTAAAATATCTGCAGCAGATGAAAGTTACCTGATGATGGATAAAGGTTAGTTCAAGTTTGATTGTTGCTGTCATATTTTTTTTTCCATAGTTGGTGATATCGGGATGGAGTACATCCATGAGGCCGCGGTTGTCCTGTTCCGCACTCTGTCCCCGGTGGACAAAGTTGGCCGGGAAGAAACCACCAGACTCAAGGCCATCTTCGGACCTTTCCCCGCCAGCGCGGTGAACAAAGCCATGAAGTCGGTGAAGGCCATCTGCTCCTGCCTTCCCGACAGTTCCCTCAGCTCGCTGACTTGCTTTTCCAGAAGGCAGGCGCAAGAAAATAAAGAGTTTGGACAAGGCATCCATTTCTCCCACGAAGGTCTGAAGCTTGTGACACTTTCTGAAAGACCTGGAACCGAGCCTAAATCCGCACAGAGGAACAGGGAAGATTTCTCCACTGCCAGCGCAAACGTAAACGGAGCAGCGGAGAGTTTATTTACCGAAGCGTGGCTTTTTGAAAGGTTGCACCAGATTTTTGGCGAGGGCTCGGAGTTCGGAGCGGGGTTACCTCCGGGAGAGCTATGCGATACTTTGATTGACATCTTGAGCACAAGCCAAAGCGACTCTGTGTTACAGAACGAGGTATGGACTAACACAATCCTAAAGAAAAATAGAAAATAAGTTTAAAATGATATATTTCGCATTCACTGTTATAATCCTTTAATATAGTTTGTTGTACTTACAGACAAATTTTAACATACAAGTGAAATCATATGATAAATTTGACCAGCAAAAAAATCTTGTGTGTCCCTCCCACATGTTTGAATGGAATGTTCCCTGGACAAAAAATCCTTGACAGTGAACTTGTGCAGAGTGTGGCACGACTTCAGCAGGGCTTAATTGGTGTCATCTGGGGAGGGGACACTGTGCCAAATTCACAGCATCTGTATCCAGCTACTGTAACATGTGTACTGCAGGATTTTAATAGCTGGCATCACACTGCACTTGTCAATACCTTCCCAAGGGTGGCTGCTGTATGAAACAGTTTTCGAAATATGAAAGGCTGATTTCATAGGTCACCCCTGCCCCCAAGATTTTACTGATAGCTTCCCTCCATCAACAGCCTCCAACTGTCAAATACAGCATTTACAGTCCATGTACGGTGAATATTTACCATGGTCAATATTGACAGAAGGAGGCCATATTAAGGTGAACTGATGAGTTTATTTGTTTGTTTGTTGTGCAGTTGTTTGAACTGCTGGGTTCGGGATGTTTGGACCTGATCCAGGACCTTCTGGACCACAGAAGTGAGCTAGTACAGAGTGCTGCAAGTCAGAGACAAAAGGAACTCAGGGGGTCAGGTAACTACATTGGTACATGTACATTGTTAAACAATAGAATAGCATACTCTCTAGTTAAACAAAACTGATCTTCCTGAAGAAAGACTAGGAGGACATTGTGACTTGTTGCTCACCACATGAATGCTGTGCTGCAATTATATTGTTAAATGCTAGGAGGAGCTGCTGCTTGACACTACTTGTACAGACACACGAAGTAATCCAGTAAATTTGCCAATGAATTACACAAAGTGAGTCCCTTAGAGAAAAGTATGTACTTTGTCTTTTTCTAGTGGATGTTTCCAGTGTTGCAGGGAAGAAACCTCCCAGTGTTGCACCCACGGTGACAGTTCAGGTAAGTTTGCTGTCATGGAACTTGATTCTTACAGTTAAAGAAATAAGTTAAGGATGCATTGTATATATGTAAGAAAATGTAGGAGGAATAAGTTGTCTTTATTATGATCCAATAGATGTAATGTAAAATGGTTTTTGTAAATTTTTCAGTCAGAAAAAGAGCGCCAGCTACTCAAGCAATATCGGAAAGATGAACGACGCATGGCCAAAAAAGACGTCACAAATCAACAGGGAGCGACATCAAACAGATTTGACCCTCGTGACCTAAGAGCACATAGGTAAGATCAAGAAGGGTTTAAATTTTGGCAAGATGTGGGGATCATATCAAAACCTGCACTGTTTCAAGACAAGATTTGATTAGGTTTCAAACAAGAAACAAGATCATATATGATTACTGCTTTACTATGGGTGATTTTGTTGATATATAGACTCTTCACACAACTTATCAACTGTGCAAGTTGTTTTCAAGTGTCTCTTAAGATGCAGTACTACCAATTTCTGCAGGGAGGTGCTGCTTCAAGAGGCGGCCCACACGCCACTGTTCAGCGATCCGTACGCAGAGCTGAGGCCGGTCCGCTATCCCAACGTGTACGACTCTTTCTCCGAAGCTCGCAAGTCGTCCTCTTTCATCGGAGGATGCAAAGTAAGTCCCAACAAAAATTCGATTTTGATTTTATTGAAATTGTAACAATACATTATACATTTGGGACAAAGGCAGCAGTTGCTGATGTTGTGTCCCACACATAGAAACAAATACAGGAAGGACAATACTCATTTTCACTTGAGTTAAGTGAGGAAAGTCGTGTAAAGTGCCTTTTCCAAGGCAAACAAATTCCATCTTTTCTAGGCTTCATTTCTGTCGACATATTGTAACTTTGTATATGCTGTCTCTGTTCTAGATGATCCTACCTGTTGGTTTTGAACGTAAAGTTTGTAACATGTACGAGGAGGTGTCCATTCCACCCAGTGAACCCCCACCAACGACCATCGGCAACTCTCGTGTCAGCATCAGCCAACTGGATGAGGTATGTTATATATTCTAATGGCCAGATTTTAATAATGACACCTTATTGTGTAATTAGCAACTGAGGTTTCTGCTTAGTTTTCATACAATTAACAACAGTTACAACACCTTTCTGTTAATGTCAACATTGTCAGGTAGTGGGTAATACATGTATATCATATTGCACAAAGTTATAATGGATGATATATTTTGTTCTGAAGTGCTGCATGACTGCATCATTTTGATCTTTCAAAATGCCTTATTTGAATCTTTGGGTTTGTAGTTTTGAAAAATAAACATTGGAACACCTCTAAGAAAAGTTATTTGACCAGAGTGTACCTATAACCCACGAGAAACTGAATGAAAATACAGTATTTAGTGGCTTGTTATACATGTTAATAAGCTGGGTTTTTCTCAATACCAGATAGCACAGCTGGCCTTCCAGGGTATGAAGAAGCTGAATCGTGTGCAGTCTGTCGTGTGTGAAATGGCGTATGGAACGAACGAAAACCTGCTGGTCTGTGCTCCGACGGGTGCCGGCAAGACCAACGTGGCCATGCTGACAGTCCTGCATGAACTCATGCAACATGTCCAACATGGCGTCCTGCAGAAAAAAGACTTCAAGGTACCGCCCAGGTTTTTTAATAGGTTATCTGCTATGTGTTGTCTATGAAAAAAATTGAAAGTTGGTATTGCAGTTTGATTTATGTGCAGCCTGTAGTACATAAGTATATGCAGTAAAAGCCATTATCGTAAGTTTAGGTTTAACGTAAGTTATAACAAAGTATAAGCACAAAATCAAGCAAACATTTTTGTGTACAACACTCTGTTTGTTGTTAGATACACTAGTTAACGCTGTTGCTCTCCTATTCCATGCAGATGTGCTATTAATCTAATATTGACAAATCAGAAATTCTCCATGTGTTTTGCTCATTTTCCCATTCCTTAACTGTTGTCTAACTTGCCATTTTTTCCTTTCTTTTTTTCTTCGAATTCAGATAATCTACATCGCTCCGATGAAAGCGCTGGCAGCGGAGATGGTGTCGACATTCGGCTCCCGTCTGCAGGCGCTGGGTGTGGCTGTACGGGAGCTGACCGGGGACATGCAGCTCACTAAGAGGGAGATCGTCGAGACACAGATGATTGTCACCACGCCCGAGAAGTGGGATGTCGTGACCAGGAAAAGTACAGGTCAGATACAGGCTCAGATACGGGTTTGTTTATAGTCAGTGTTTCTTGCCTTTACAACAAGTGTAACTCACAGAACGTCTAGAAAATGTTTGCAGCATACAAGCATTAATAGCTGAGGTGTGATGTTTGATTGACAGGTGATGTAGCCCTGGCTCAGGCCGTCCGACTGCTGATTATTGACGAGGTCCACATCCTGAATGACGACCGAGGACACGTCATCGAGAGTCTCGTGGCAAGGACGCTTCGTCAGGTGTCCTTTTTTTTAAATCTCTCAGTCTATCAACCTCCTCCTGTTAGTTTTTTTCTTTATTTACCAAGTTGTAGTGGTTATGACTGATTAAGATATTCGTAATGACAGTATAACATGTCATGTGGTTGTGAGATGGAAGTTTAAAAAACACACCATACATGTAGTTGATGGTACTGGTATGCCTCACCAGTGGGTTCGTTAGTTGAACGCCAGCCGTCATGGGGAACTTTGGCCCTTAGTTCAATATTCCCTCGGGGTGGGGGGCCAGCAGTGCAGTAACACCACCACCCTCAGAGTAAAGTATCAGACATCTTTGTTGACCACCTGAAACCATACCTCTGTTGTTAGTACCTTTTGAGAAGTCGGGATGAAATCACAATGGCAAAGTTTTTGTTTAAACAATAGAACAATAGCTTGTCTGTTTGGCATCCTCTAGTCTGAAGCACTGCTCATGTGCAAGGTATGTTACTCAGTGTTATATCAGCATGAAAAATCATACCTTTGTAATATTGATTTTTGTTATATTTTCAGGTTGAGACGTCCCAGAGCATGATCAGAATTGTTGGCCTGTCTGCCACCGTGCCTAACTACCTGGACGTAGCACGTTTCCTGAACGTGAACCCGGAGAAGGGGCTGTTTTTCTTTGACAGTCGCTTCCGTCCCGTGCCCCTGCGACAGACGTACATCGGCATCAAGTCCACCAGTCGCATCCAGCAGCTGCAGGACATGGAGCAGGTGATTCACACATGTCAATCATTTTCCTTTCCTATTTTTTATGTACAGACCATTATTACATAAAGGTCCTCTTTAAAGGTGGTATTTTTAACATCATTACATTACAGTAGCACTAACATGAAAGTGAGTGAGTCTGTGGTATTAAGTGATTTTCTGTTGTCTCCACTAAACAGGTGTGCTACGACAAGGTAGAGCATATGGTCAGACAGAGCCACCAGGTAAAGTGACATTCTGTTGTAAATACATCTTAAAGTTTCTAATTGCTATATGGTGAATTTAGAAGTGCCAGCAATAATCAACATGCATGTAGTGCAACTTCTACTCCTCCAGAAAGGTTTTAGCTCTTTAAGATCTTGTATTAATAAGCCTACAGTCAAAAATGTTAGACACATTAGATGCTACTGTAAGACTCCATTAAACTTTTGTGAAATCGCAAACATCCCATACTAAATGGAAGTATGTAATGGTATGGTAAGAAATGGTACACTTTGGAAGATAATAATACCTATATTCTTGTGTTGTGTCTATGTAGGTGCTTGTGTTTGTCCACGCCCGTAACGCCACTGTGAGAACAGCCACAGCTCTGAGAGACATGGCCACCAGCAGTGGCAATGGGAGCATCTTCTGTAGCCAGCAGAGTCCTGAGTATGGAGCGGCCGAGAAACAGGTAGGACCCTGTGCAATATCGTGTAACAATTAACTAGCTGCTTCCTTATATGTTGGTTGTAACTTGAAAGATATACAGTAGGCCCATAGATTTTGAATTGTGTGTAATGTCATAATTTCCTGACTCAGTATTAACTAATTTCCTGACTCAGTATTAACAGGATAACTCAAAAATAATGTAAATTGATGTTCATGATTTTTGGTAGGCAAGTTACCATTCCTTATGTATTTTACCAACTCAGATGAACTTGCATGCTAGTATAGACTGGTTTATTTCGAAAGGAACATGCATACAACATACATATAAGTTGCTAATTGCAGCCCGCAGGCTGAATTGGGCAGCTTTTACAAAGAGATACACAGGTAGAATATATTTAACATGTACATAGCTTAAGCATAAGCATCAAATATTGCACTAGATTATTGCACTTTTATGTTAAAATTACGGCATTACAAGATCGGTTACAACTTACATGATATAGCTAAAAAACTATTACAACTACTATAAGATAAAACACTATTACAACACATACAGCTATTATAAAAAATAATAGTAGTTTAACTCCTTCCCACTGTCCAGGTAAGCCGCTCGCGTAACAAGCAGCTGCGGGACCTGTTCCCAGACGGTTTCGGGATCCACCACGCGGGGATGTTACGGCAGGACCGTAACCTGATGGAGCGACTGTTCTCCCGCGGTCTGATCCGTGTGCTGGTCTGTACCGCCACGCTGGCCTGGGGCGTCAACCTGCCCGCACACGCCGTCGTTATCAAAGTAAGTGGCAAGTTAATCCTTCCCAAAAACTTTCATAAAAAGGCTACATGTACATCGGCTAACATATGAACATACAAGCCAAGGAATGCAACATTTGAATTGTGTGTTATGCTTGTAATCATTGCACTTTTCCTAACTGAAGGAAACAATTACACAGGCCTTTTATTTTTTTTTCGAAACATTCATAGTATTTGGTTTGCACTGAAAGTGATTTTAGTGATTTAGTAGATTCAAACAGTGTCACACTTACATTTATTTGCATTAATGCAATATATTAATTAATCAGGCTAACAAGATTGACTTCCTCCTGAACAGGGCACACAAATTTACGACGCCAAGCGGGGTTCGTTTGTAGACCTCAGTATCCTGGACGTGATGCAGATCTTTGGTCGCGCCGGGCGTCCTCAGTACGACACGTTCGGGGAAGGCGTGATCCTGACCACCCACGACAAGCTGAGCCACTACCTGTCCCTCATGACCCAGCAGACTCCCATAGAGAGCCAGTTTATACAGAACCTCACAGACAACCTGAATGCTGAGGTGAGAACTGTTATTAAATGGGTCCACTTGTGGAAGTCTGGAGATTGATTGTACCAAAATTCAGGTAGAATAAGATAAAAACACTCAAGATATGAGAGAGGAATCCTGAATATTTCTCAATAGTGGTCCATAGGTTAATGGGTTGCTATGTTTTTAAGCATGAGGACGTTAATGATGGAAAAAGAAGTGGTAGAAATCTCCAAGGCTTTAATTTCTTTTTTATGCATTTTGTATGTTTGCAGGTGTCGCTGGGTACAGTCACCAATGTGGATGAAGCTGTGAGATGGCTGAGCTACACCTACCTGTATGTCAGGATGAAGGCCAACCCACTGGCTTACGGGATATCCTACACAAATGCTCAGGTAACAACAAACTAAACTGACATGAACTGCCTTGCTGTGCGTGTCTAATGTACATGGTTTATGGTGAACTTAATGCATTTTACTGAAGTGTGTTAACCTTAAAGTTACTGCTCTAAAATGAGCAAATGCATGTTTGAGTGTGTTGAAAATTATGTATCTGTAAGGCATGTATCTGTTTTTTTTATCTGCATTGAATCCAGCTATACATTCAAGTCTAAAAACCCATCAAATTTCTTCATAAACCCTGACGAAATTGAAGCTGAATACATTGTTCCACATTCAGAGCCACTAGTGAATGGCTCTATTTCTTCCTTTACAAATTTTGAAAACCATAGAAAGACCCAGATCTGGAGAGCTTCCGTCGTGAGTTGATCGTAGCGGCAGGTCGTCAGCTGGACAAGGCCCGTATGGTGAGGTTTGAGGAGAGGACTGGTTACCTACACCCGACTGACCCTGGACGCACAGCCAGTCACTTCTACATCAAACATGACAGTGTGCAGGTAAGAGTTATACAGTATAATAAAGGTCACCTTTGATCCCATTGTAGATCATAGATTTAGTTACCCTAGTATTTACATCTTTCACCAATTATTAGTTCAACCTAAATACTGTATCTTAGTGTATATTTTCTTCATTTTCCTAACTTAATATGTCCCTTTCACATAGAAAATACATATCGTGTACTCAAACTGTTTCCACACATGTTTCTAGTGCTGTCAGTGTCATGCTATTAGAATACTCTCTCCATTTACCCATTTTTAGTTCTGTGAGCTAGCAGCTGACACTTTTGTCATGTTTAAGAAACAGTAGCTGTGCCCTTAAAATGAGTTGCCAAATCATTACTGCTTTCTAATATTTACCATATTTGCAGGTGTACAATGAGTTTCTGAAACCCCTGATGACAGAGTCAGACATCTTAGCCATGGTGGCCAAGTCTCATGAGTTTGATCAGATCAAGGTAAGATCAGCTTTGCTGTTATCTAGCCAAGGTCTAGCTGCAATGTGTATGACTAAGTTTTTGTTTGCAATACCTAAAAGGCAGTGATACAATTTAGAAGAAAATATTTTTTGGTACATTTAATGCTAGACTGAGAAAGAAATAACAAAATTTCATGCTTCTTTCACATCTTTTTTTTTCAATGTCCAGACTTCTGATTATTGTGTTAGCTACACAGTAATGTTCTCTCTTGTTTTTCTGTAGGTAAGGGATGACGAGATGTCGGAGTTGGATGAGCTGCTGGACTCCGTCTGTCCGCTGCCCGTGCCCGGCGGCGTGGAGAACAGTTACGGGAAGGTCAACATCCTGCTACAGACGTACATCTGTCGCCATCGGGTGGACAGTTTCTCCCTCATGTCTGACATGGCGTATGTTGTACAGGTAAGTCAACATCCTGCTACAGACATAAGGCTTTCAACATCATATTTCTGCATGAATGTTAATATACAGTAATGGGCAGGTGTTGTTTAAGTGACTTGAATATTGAGTCTGAAAATACAGTTTTTAAGCCATGAAACTGACCTGGGTACCTTTAAAATTGACTTTTCTTGGAAACTTAAAAATGACTCAACATCTGTGCAAACAAACTTGTTAACCTACAATCTCCCACACTGTATGCCTACCCTACAGAATGCAGGACGTATCCTGCGCGGCCTGTTTGAGATCACCTTGAGGAAAGGCTGGCCCCTGATGGCAGGTAAACTCCTGGAGCTGAGTAAGGTGGTGGACCGGCAGCTCTGGCCCTTCGAACACCCCCTGCACCAGTTTACTGTCCTGTCTAAGGAGATTCTGCACAAGCTGGAGGCACGTAGCCTCAGTGTGCACAGGATCAAGGACCTAAAGGCTGATGAGATCGGTGAGAACTAGTTAACATATTAACTTAATGAGCTAGTACTAGTTTACTGACAGAAACTTACAGTCACTGTAGCTGATGTACTACCAGTACTTTCATACAGTTGGTGGGGAGGGCGGACAAAAACCAGGCGCATGATAAAGAATGTCACAATTTTCCCCACCAACCTCTGCTTGGAGAGTACTAGATCCCAGAGTCATGCACCATGCAACTAGTCAGTAGTTTTTTAGTTTTCTACCAAATGAATCCGGATACTGAAACACTCATCATATTTCTTTAGGTTTATTTGTAACCAAATGAGTTACCTTGCGGTTGATGCTAACCTGAGTTGTTATATACTTGTACAGGGAGAATGATCCATCATGTGAGGATGGGTAAGACGGTGAAACAAGCCGTCTACCAGCTGCCCTCTCTGGAACTGGACGCCGCCATCCAGCCCATCACCCGTACCGTGCTGCGGGTGCGCCTCACCATCTCGCCCACCTTCACCTGGAACGACCGCGTGCACGGGACGGTGTCGGAGCCATGGTGGATCTGGGTGGAGGACCCTGAGAACCACCACATCTACCACTCCGAGTACTTCCTCATACAGAAGAAACAGGTGGGGGGATGAGGAGTTATAGAAGGAGGGAGTGAGGGAAGGAGGGAGGAAATGGATGGAATGAGAGTGAGTGAGTGAGTGAGTGAGTGAGTGAGTGAGTGAGTGAGTGAGTGAGTGAGTGAGTGAGTGAGTGAGGGTGAGTTACACAAATGTAGAGTGAGTGAATGAGAGTGAGTATGAGTGAGTGAGTGAGTGAGTGAGTGAGTGAGTGAGTGAGTGTGTGTGTGAGTGAGTGAGTGAGTGAGTGAGTGAGTGAGTGAGTGAGTGAGTGAGTGAGTGAGTGAGTGAGTGAGAGTGAGTGAGTGAGTGTGGGGGAGTGAGTGAGTGAGTGTGAGTGAGTGAGAGAGTGAGTGAGTGAGTGAGTGAGTGAGTGAGTGAGTGAGTGAGTGAGAGTGAGTGAGTGAGTGTGGGGGAGTGAGTGAGTGAGTGTGAG